GTTTACCAGTGCATCGCACTGGCTACACTAGTTTAACTAACAAGTAACAAGTATATTTTACTTTACTGGCTACACTAGTTTAACTAACAAGTAACAAGTATATTTTACTTTTAATGCTTTATGGACGATAATTTACTTTTCAAAAGCACTCATCGAAATTAACGTAAGATAAAAGTAAAATTTGAAGAATTTACCAACTAATTAAGTATACTTATAATTAAATACCATAATTTTATAAATTTTGGAATGAAATATATGTTGATGGAATGATTAAAAGGATTGGGTAATTAATCAATAGTTCTTAATTATATATTACAAGTTGTCCGTATTGTAAAATACTTTTTAATTGGATAGATTATTGTTGAAACATTTTATATCACATGGATTAATAATGAATTATTTGTATTATTTATTTTATAATTCCGGTTTAGTTTACTAATTTTGATGCCACCTAAATATAAAGTGTTATGACATAAAACAGCTTAGTTGGCGGAAAATGAAACTGTATTATATATGAGCAAAATATATAATGCATAATTTTGCTTCTGTTTCATAATCATTAACTCTTCCTTTATATATAAAACAATAGACTACTATATAATGCAAAGATATTTTGTAAGAGATTCGTACAAGTGTCGGTGTAATCAAGATAGTAAAACATCTAAATATATATATAGTTGCTGGCATATAAAATTTAATAAAACATTTAATAAAACCTCCATTCATTTTTCCGCTTATTTTTTCAATTAATGTAGAACCGTTACATTTTACATTAATAAACTGTAATAATAATTTAATATAATTTATTCACTACTAACACTAATTGATTACAACTTTACATTAAATAGTATGTGGAAGTTACATACTTATAAAAAATTGTATTGCAATTTTTTTTTTAAAATACTTTTTCTAAAATAAAATATTTTTGTTCTTTTTAAGCGACTTTTATCTAACAAGTTAACTGACATGAGTGTCATAATTAAACACCTTAAAATCACATAAACAAAATGCTCTAACAATGATAAAAATAATTGTAATCTTTTCAAACTAATTAAATGTATGGTCCCTCTAAATTACTAAATTATATTAGTTATTAAAATTTATGGCATCAATATAAAGATTCATACGTAAGTTAAATAATTTATATATACATTACACATTTGCATGTAGTCCAAATTTAAAATGTAATACATAAATTATTTAATATAAAATTTTTATATATTGTATTCATAAATATAATATATAAATTTTTATTTTTCTTTGTGCAGTGCACAGGATGAATACTAGTGTATACAAAAAGATAAGACACGACACGAGAAGCACAAAAAAAAATTAGTTAAATTCAAATTTATTATATATCTATAATTAATTAAAAATAGATAACACTAAATAACGATAACAAAACACAAACACGATACGATAAATCACGACACGAGAAGCACAAAATCTCAGTAATTAAATAATAAATAACACAAAATCATGATAGTAAAATACGAACATGACAATATTAGAAGAATATCGAACAATCTAAGCAGAGTAGAAACCATTTCTCAATTTACTCGTAGCATCCTTGCACAGGGGCCATGCTAATATTCATTGTATCGTTTCAATTTTATCGGATGTCCACGAAGGGACAATCTAAGCAGAGTAGTTAACAGAAACAATTGTAAAACTAATACTTTGGGGCCTTTGGGCCCAAAAGCTGAAAATACTTGTTCGGGCCCAGGGGTTGATATTTTCAGCCCAAAGACAATTGAGATGAAATCCCATAAATACCCTTGCTCGTGAAGACGTAACTGGCTATTATTAGGGTTTTTATTTCTCCTCACTACCGCCAGCGAGAAAGAGAGCCGCCGTGTACTCCATCGACCACCAGCAAAAATGGTCAGTGAATCTTCTCAACCTTCGATATTTGTTACTGTCGTACTGAGTTTGCTTTCAGATTCATGTATGCGTTTGTATCTATCGTCCTGTGCTAGCATTTTTTTTTTTCTGCTTGATTGGCTTTTACGTGTGGCTGAGAGAGTAGTAGCGCTCAATCTTGTGTGTTGATTTGCTTTTGGAGGTCATTCCAAGATTGCTTATGCTTTATGCTTCGTATGGTTGTGCAAATCTGTGTTTGAAGTATTTGGACATTTATTGGGTTTGTGTGGATCAATTTCGGGTTGCTGCTTATCTTCTGAATCATTGTAAATGTTGATTAAAAAATTGATCTTTTGAAGTGTTTTTGTAATGGAATATATCATGTTGTGGCGGCAGGTCTAGAGATTGTGTGTGGCTGTGTGGTGTGCTTTTGATCTTTGTAGTATTTTGTTTTTCTTTTTGTAATGTTGATGAATGAAAAATGGAGTTTAGGGTTTCGCTTTTTTAAGGCTTCTTGTGGAAGATCTGTTTTTTGTTCATGGCTTTCTCTTAGTGGTTATGGTTTGTTAATTGTGCCATATTGTTTGATCCGATTGACAGGCGAGAGGATTGAAGAAGCACTTGAAGAGGCTCAATGCCCCCAGCCATTGGATGTTGGATAAGCTTGGTGGTGCTTTTGTAAGCCATTATCAATAATTTTTTTTTTCCTTGTTTTTTTTTTCTTCTATATAATTGTACTTCTATTTGTGTGGTGAACTATTGTTCGGTCGGTTTGCCCCTGTAAGAGTGTGCTTGACTGAAGCTCTGTAAATTGACATGAATTTAGGCCCCCAAGCCTTCATCTGGGCCCCACAAGGCGAGGGAGTGTCTGCCATTGATTCTCATTCTGCGAAACAGGCTGAAGTATGCCCTTACTTACCGTGAAGTCATTGCTATTCTGATGCAACGTCATATCCTTGTTGATGGGAAGGTCAGGACTGATAAGACATATCCTGCTGGCTTTATGGGTAAGTACTTCTCATCGTGTTGTTTGGAAGCTCTTGTATTTTATTTATTTATTTATTTTTTGGGGGGGTTCAATCTAAAATTGTGTTTGTGCTATTTCTGTTTTCTAGATGTGGTGTCTATTCCAAAAACCAATGAAGATTTCCGTCTCCTGTACGACACCAAGGGCCGATTCCGTCTTCACACAATCAGGGATGAGGAAGCCAAGGTCTGTTTTGTTACCTTCTAGGTTTCTCTTTTGTTTTGAAAAATCGGCATATTTCAGTATATACGAGATACTGTGTTGGGACACTTCCTAATGGCCTATGAGGTACTGAGTTACTTTGTCATCAGTGTAAATTCATCGAGGGCATTGAATCATAACAAATCAATATGGATTGGTTTACTGCTGTTTGTTCAGAATTTGTACCTTGATACTATTCTTTCCTATTAAAGATGGTTTGTAGTAGAGTGTTGACCCTTAGATAGACGTATATATTTGTATTTTACACCCACATTCATCATTTTTGTTCCAGTTGGTCTTGTGATGAGTATAAAAAGCATGCGATCTATACTATTTTATTCCCAGTAGCTTCTCATTTGATGCAATGGCTAAATCTTCATAATAGATTTTAACGCATTTTCATTATGCCCCTTTTACAGTTCAAGCTTTGCAAGGTCCGTTCGGTCAAATTCGGACAAAAAGGCATTCCTTACCTCAACACCTATGATGGGAGGACCATTCGCTACCCGGACCCGCTAATCAAGGCCAACGACACCATCAAGCTCGACCTGGAGAGCAACAAGATTGTCGATTTCATTAAGTTTGACGTTGGCAATGTTGTGATGGTGACTGGTGGGAGGAACAGGGGACGTGTTGGGGTGATCAAGAACCGTGAGAAGCATAAGGGAAGCTTTGAGACTGTCCACATTCAGGATGCAACTGGGCACGAGTTTGCCACTCGTCTCGGCAATGTGTTCACTATTGGGAAGGGTACAAAGCCATGGGTGTCCCTTCCCAAGGGCAAGGGTATTAAGCTGTCCATCATTGAGGAGGCTAGGAAGAGACTTGCAGCCCAAGGTGCTACTGCTTAGAAGTCTGTGTTCTGCTCTTATCGATGGTTGGAAGTAGTTTTAAATTGTTATAATCTGGTTGTATGCTTTTTGCTATGTATTTGAGACTTTCACCGGAATGAACTATTTATTATGTCCTGGATGCTAGCATTCTGCAGATCCTTTTTTTTATGGTGAAAATGTGATAGTCCCCATCTGGAGTTTTTGAATATTTGTCTGCTTATTATATTAAGTTTTGGGATTTTGGTGCATGTGTGGAGTTTATTTCTGAATGATGATGTGCTTATTGATGTTTTGAATATAACTCAGAAACTTTAGGCATTTTAGATCCAGAATCATATGTCATTACACAATTAAATTAGGGTCTCTTAAAGTTAGTATAAGGTAAGGCAACATGTTTGATGAGTGAGCCGAGCTTGAGCTTTGATAAGCAAGTTGTTTACATGTTTTTTTGAACTTTCATCATATATCATCAGTCGAGCTTGAGCTCATTTATTTGCTTGTTAACTTCATAACTCAGGGTCGATAAGGAGTTTGAAACTTTCGTATCATGAGCTCAAGCTTGGTTCATTTACCTCTAGTTGTTTTAAGATCCTTTGTGATGAAGTTTTTCCCTTTACGACCTCCTTTTTTTCATTTCGCTCTGCATATCAGATCCATTGAGAAGTAACTAGTTGGGATATGTTTCGTCCATTACATCCTTCTTTATTTTCTTTCTTTTTCCTCCTCAAATGACATTTTTAGATCCATTGCGATCATTTTCGCCCATTATGTGAGAAATTTTACACAAGTGACAAAGAAAATTATTACTGTCTAAGCAATGAGATGATTTAAGGACGAAAAAAAAAAAATGACCAAGATACATCCATATGTTCAAGGCAACTAGGTAGCAAGCAACTCTGGCTTGCCACATTGATTTTGAATCTAACAAACACATTGATTTTGAATCTAACAAACCCAGGACTAAATGCTAAATTCCAATCTCATCATGTAAGGCGATGATTAGGGTACACATCCATAAACTAAACTGATACATGCCCCTTATTTATTCATCTAGCATGAAATAACGCCGAGCGTACTTAAGCCGCTGCACCAACTCCTTCCTCAAGGAGCATTTGATCGAAGTGCCAAACACCTGCACGTGCATTTGAACATCCACAAAATTTAGTTAATTTTTTGGAGAAAATATAAATGTACAATTGAATAAATTATGGAAAGAGTTTGTCGTACCATGTCCCTTTCCAACTCTCCTCAACTGGGAGACGTATTCTGAGATCTTCTTGATGGCATCAACCTGGAAAATAAGTGAAGAGAAACACAGAAAAAGGAACAGCAGATTAAAAATTTGAAGTTCGGAGGGTTGTGAAACTTAAGCTCTGTTTTGTTCACTATACAGATTCGAGTCTTGCAGTATGTTATTTTTCATTGAGTATAATTAAGTTCCACCGCATACAGTTCTGATTGTTCTCTCTGCATGTTATTATTAATTGGCAATTTTTGACATCTATGAGATTTACCTGCTCCGCTAGAAATTCGCTTTCTATGAAATCTGCCATCTGGGGATCGTTGCTTCTATCAGCAGCCTGAGCATTTACGAAGTGAAATTGAAATAATTTAACATTTTGCAACAGATACAGGAAGCATCTTTAAATCGACTGCACAAATTTAAGCATTTCAATGAAATTAGAAAAGGTAAATGGGAAAACAATGTCAGAAAAGCCTTACAGCATGGAGGAGCAAGAGCTTCTCATTGGCTAATTTCTCCAAGGCCAGTGACAGTTCCATAGCTGAAATATCAATGAGCATTTAAATGACAAATGTTGAGGATCATCATAATAAGAAAAGAACTTGCACTGTCTGCAGATAACCTACATATAGTACTGATTTAAGTGGGAACATAACACGAGTATCATATATAACTTACACACTACACAGTGACAGGATCATAACAAGAAATTATGCATAGTGCTTATATGTATTTATGTCAATTCCCTGAACAAAACTTGAATACCAAAGAATAGTAACAGACTTGCATATGCGATTTATCACGCCATGTAATTATGAAAAATAAAAAAGATACAAAAATAGAAAAACATAGAGGAACCTACCATAAAGTGCATCACCCCTCTCAGGGTGATCATATTCTGAAGGTGGTGCCTGCAGCGCGTGCAACCTCACTCTCCCTCCTCGCTTATTCTTTATTTTGCCAAAAGTTTAGGAAAAGCATGTTATATTTTCGTCAAGAAACATATGAACAGAATGAATTAGACAAGTGAGAATGTCGTGTTTGACGGTGACCTGATATTCTATTAGCTTCTCCGCGTGGTCTCTTTCTTCCAAGCTGGCCTCCTTGAAAAATCTGGTCAAATATCATCATCATCATCAAGCACATATTTAAGAAGTTAAGAAAAAAAAAAAAAAAACGTGACAAAAGATAAACAAACTATCAGATATTTATATCACTTACTTAGCAAGGCCTTTTAGAGCAACATTATCCCTGTCAAAATATGCATACATAGAATGGTACACGTACGAGAGATTGTACTCCACACTGAAACCAACAAGAGAAAACCAACGCGTTAACAATAACCTTACGTATTTCTAAAGAATCTAACATAACAACAGACACTCACAAAAACGACACAAACAGATAATTCCGGAAATATATTATACGAATTGCAGTGATCATCTCACCATTTCACCCAAAAGGATTCAACTCATGAGGACCATTTTCATTTGCCACTGAAAAACAAACAGTACTTACTACACCAGAGAGCTGACAATGACATATCCCTAAAGATCACCAGAAATTTATCATACCAGATCAAACACATTAGCTCGACAACACAAAATTCTTTTGAAACATGATAATTGCTCATGCCAAACCATGTTAAGCTGCTTCCCAACTTACCAAACAACAAGAACTTACACATTTCATAATCGAGAAGAATAAATGAGTAAAAAAAGAGATCGGCTCACTTGATCTGCTCGTTGAGTGCAGCCTCACATGCATCAGAGAGCCTCTGGCGAGCAAGCGAAGCCTCGCCAGTCTTCGGGACCAAAAATTCGTCCCTCCGAACCTCCTCCAGCGGCTGAAACAGGAAGCCCGTCATAGACGAGGCGAGTGCCTCGTTCGACGCCGCGACCACAGCAAGATTACCGCGTTTCTTCCCGAAACTCAGTCCGCGGCCGGCAAACGAATTCAGATTCGGAGAGAACGAGCTCGACCGGGCCGTCAGATTCGCCGGAGCCTGAACAGACTGCATGGATACAGCTGAAATCGCCTCCATAAACATCTTCGCCGGAAAAAAATAATTTCAGATCTGAGGATTGAAGAGCAGAGGATTTGGAAAATGGAGTTCTGGTGAGTGTGTGTGGAGCAGTTGGAAAGGGTGTGGGATTTGGATTATATAGAAAGAGACCCCAATCGGTATACGGCTCTTACTGGCCAATGGGAAGGCAACACGTAGAGAGAGAAAAAGGGCCACATGGGCAGGGGCGTGTGGAGGACTCGTGCCTAATCCGAAATCTTGTGGGGTCAAAGGAAATAATATCCCCCATTATTATTGTTGAGCAATTCAAAAGGTATCTTAGCTTCTTCTAGTTGTGTTCACATTATGTGGAGTTTCTATATTTGTGGTGTTAAATTTGGTTCATTTCAATCTTTGTTTGAAATTTTTTTAATAACGTTGGATCAATACAAGTTCAAGTTTGTATGGATATATGTGTGGATTCAACGGATAAAAAAAATTGATAATTGCAGTGCAGTCACCGATAAAATTGAATCCCCCTCAAATCTCAATTGTAGTTGTGAGATTGATTCAGTAGAATTTTTTGGGGTATTTATTGTTTATTGTATGAATTTACTGAACTGAGTTAAATATAAAACGATGGGATTGATATTGACGCAAATTGAACCGTTGGTCCATTGTTCAATTATAACCTTTTCAATAACTATACATATTTTTATTATAACTATAAGTAGATTTTTGTTTCTAGAAAGTAAAATGAATTCACCTACATTGTTTCACATCACAAGTGTGTGAAGAAGTGAATTGATTGATATATAAATATATGAAAATAGTGAACTTAAAAATTAAATTATTTTTCTACGATAAAAAAACACGCGATGCTTAGAATTTTCCAATCATAAACTATTACTTTATACTCTTAATATAGTAATGTGGCGTCGTGATCATGTAGTATGCTAGATTGCACCAGTGGTCTAGTGGTAGAATAGTACCCTGCCACGGTACAGACCTGGGTTCGATTCCCGGCTGGTGCATTATTTTTTTCATTACATTCCTGGCCCATCATTTTTTTTTTTCATTACATATGTTCCTTGCCCTTTTTCTGTCAATGGACTGGGGTCATGCTAGCAATGTAAAAAATTGCAAGCAGCAATTATGTTAAATTAACCGAGACGGGCCAAA